ATCTCCTAACCGACACTTGACCTGGACTCAAAAATAGTATATGTTTTACAGTTTAAAACCCGACCAAAGAGGCCAAAGACACCGTCTGAAAAACTCAAAATACCAGCAATAGACCAAAAAATCCAAACCACCGACCACAAACCACAGGTCAAACAACAACAATAACGCCGAAAAAGGAACCAAACTTGATCTAAAGGAATCGCCAGAGAGAGAGAGAGAGAAGGAAAAAATACCAAATGAAGAATGAAAAGTCTCTCTCTCAAAACCGGACTTAAACCATATTAACAAAGGGGATCTAAATCTTGGCCATCCAATTTTAATCAACGGTCCATAATAGTGCAAAGAAACACAAATCCAAGTGAAGAGGAAACAACCAATAAAAGACTGCCACGTGGACGGCCAGTAAGAAATCGTTTTATCACTTGAAGAATCGCATTTTGTGGTTTTGGAAACACTTTCACATTAGATTATCCAGCTTGGGAATGGGATTGGGCTCTTGTACTTGGTCATATTTGGTTATGCTTTCGTTTACCAAAGTTGTTATTGGAATTCTTTGGTGCAACTCAAGCTTGTAGTTTATATTAGAAATAATCAGGATTGACATGTTGATCTTGTTGTCGGTGTCAGGTTGGAAAGTCACACAGTAGAGCGATACATGTTCCTTATATGTTTATACATTGCCTCTTCATTCGTCTTATTTATCTCAAGACTTTCTCAACAGTTTAACTTTTAATTTCTATAAGCTTTCCCTGCCTATTTTCTATTGAAAACAGCCTAGTTATACAATCCCACACTCTTGAGAAATCAAATCTATACCTTTCCAAGCCTGCAAGCATCTCCAAAATGTCATTACCAGCTAAGGAAGAGATCTTGGTGGAATTGCGCCAAATATGGAATTTAGCACAATTTTGCAAAGAAATGGCCCCACTTGTTTCTCGAGAATAGATGGGAAACATGCCGAATACATTTGATTGAATAGTTGACCTAGCCTCTAGTTGTTTGAAAAAAGCCTTCATTTCAATTGATATTTATTCACGAAAAAGTAGACATGAGATAAAAAAAAAAAAAAAAAAAAAAATCCAGTTTTTCATTAAGATTTGGAATATTGGTCTCGAATTCAAGTTGATTTTTTTTTGTAATCTTTGAGAATCATTAAATTGCAACCTTGAAGCCTTCTCCACAAAAGTGGTAAAGTTTACTATAGAGCCCATAAGTAAACCTTGAAAACAACTCTCTTTAAAAGATTTCATAGGTTGAAAATTCAATAAAATAATCTAAAAAAAAAGATACTTCTTTCTTCTGCTGATTGTATAATTCTACTTTTATCGAGGAAATTCTATAACTTCTTCTGTCCAATAAGATTATTTTTTGATAAATACAATGCACAAGAATTTTTATCTTTAATCGATATGGAATACCTTCGAAGCTTTTTGAGGTGATTCAAATACAACACAAGATATTAAGAGCATGTTTGGTAGAGATTTTAATGCAATTAAAATCAATTTTTTTATCGTTATTTCACTATTTTAGCCATTATTTTTGAATTCTTCTTTCACAGGTAAAACCCAATTTATTTCTAACGGTTAAAAAATCAATTATCAAAATTCTTACCAAACAAGCACATATATTAACGCTACTCTCGAGCTCATTTATTGCTAATAGACATTTTCCAAACAATTAAATATATGTCTTCCTCCTTCCAAAGATTATTGGTACTCTTTGGGGCCCAAACCCAATTCCAAACTTCCACCTTATAAATCACACCAAAGTTTCCTAACTTTCCTATGTGGGATAAGTATTTGGAAAATCAAATTCTTCCATAATCCTTAGTTTATGTGGGTTACTTTAACACTTAATATTTTATTCAATTTTAAATGATTTTCGATAAATAAATATATCACGTTAATCATCTCGCGGAGTAGAACGTGAATATGCTAGGTCCCGTATTAATTAAAAGGTGGGTCCCACTGAAATTTGGGCTCAAAGTTGACCCATTAACCATTTTTTCCAACACCACCATCTCACACTGCACGAAGATCAAATCCATACTTTCCAAGTCTTGATGCGTCTCCAAAATGTCTTTGATAATGCTTTTAGGATCATTAAATTGCAACCTCAGAACTTTTGCTACGACGATGGAAAAAGGATACTACAAAACCTATAGCTAAACTCTCTAAAGGTAAAAAATTCAATAAAATTATCTAATACCTCGATACGTCTTTCATTCTCTTTACTTGTTATATAAATCCTCTTTAATCAAAGGGAAATACTATAATTTACTTCTTATTCATTATAGGCAGTTTTCAATGTGCAATGTTTGTGCTTCTTGCGTGCGACTTGTAAGATCTTTAAACATTAAGTAATAAAAATACTTGTTAAGGTAATTCAAATGAGTGATGCTATTTGCAATCGCTTGCTGTTATTGTTGTCCTACGTGACGTATATGTATCGATTAATGGTTTGATATGTTAATGTGGTAATTTTTTATTACCTCATGCATTAAATCATTAATTGTCACGTGTGCACCATTTAGAACAATTAATGTAGTAAACGATTGCAAATAACATTATTCAATTCAAATATAACAATCAATATTATTATCTTATCACTATTCTTGATCTCATTTATTGCAAATATCCACTTTAATGAGGAAACAATTATAATTTCATCATTGCCCATTATGGTTAAATTTCCTACGACGATGGAAAAAGGATACTACAAAACCTATAGCTAAACTCTCGAAAGGTAAAAAGTTCAATAAAATTATCTAATACCTCGATACGTCATTCTTTTTACTTGTGATATAAATCCTCTGTAATCAAGGGAAATACTATAATTTACTTCTTATTCATTATAGGTAGTTTTCAATGTGCAATGTTTGTGCTTCTTGCGTGCGACTTGTAAGATCTTTAAAAATTAAGTAATAAAAATACTTGTTAAGGTAATTCAAATGAGTGATGCTATTTGCAATCGCTTGCTATTATAGTTGTCCTACATGACGTATATGTATCGATTAGTGATTTGATATGTTAATATGGTAATTTTTTATTACCTCATGCATTAAATCATTAATCGTCACGTGTGCACCATTTAGAACAATTACTGTAGTGAACGATTGCAAATAACATTATTGCAATCGCTTGCTGTTATAGTTGTCCTACGTGACGTATATGTATTGATTAGTGATTTGATATGTTAATGTGATAATTTTTTATTACCTCATGCATTAAATCATTAATCGTCACGTGTGCACCATTTAGAATCGCTTGCTGTTATAGTTGTCCTACATGATGTATATGTATCGATTAGTGATTTGATATGTTAATGTGATAATTTTTTATTATCTCATGCATTAAATCATTAATTGTCACGTGTGCACCATTTAGAACAATTACTGTAGTGAACGATTGCAAATAACATTATTCAATTCGAATACAACAATCGATATTATTATCTTATCGCTATTCTTGATCTCATTTATTGCAAATATCCACTTTAATGAGGAAACAATTATAATTTCATCATTGCCCATTATGGTTAAATTTTTACAAGTACAATGCACTTGCTGCTTGGATGTGACCTGTAAAATTTTCAAACATTTAGTGATACAAATACTTACAAAGCGTGTTAAGGTCATTAAAATAAAACATGTTAATATCATAACTCTTGAGCTTAACGATCGTTATTAAATTTTTCTTTTCATTTGAAGGGAAAATTTATAATCGTGCAATTAATAGCATACTATTACTTCCCAATTGCTTTTAGAATTTTGAGGGTTATACTGTTATAGTTTTCCTTAGAGAGGTTGAAAGAGTGATCAAAATTTCGTAATTAATACTTAATAGTATCGTTAGTAGACGTAAGGAATTTTCCGAATCATGTAAAGTGCATTTTGTTAATAACATTTGGTATCATGTAAAGTTTAGGGATAACAAATCTCGACTCCTTCTGAGTATATAAAATAAAAAAGTTAATATTTGATTTTCAAATCAATGTACCATATCAATTATGGAGTTTGTCTCACCTAATTTTTGCTTAGTTTATACGTATGAAATTTTTTTTTTTAAAAAAAAATGCGGCACTAACAATAGAAAAATAACATGAATATAGTTATTTGTTGAAAAATCTAACAAAATTAACTAGCAATTTACCAATCTATTTTCTTTTTCTAGTTCTTCTGTTTTATTCCCCATTTAATTTATTTTCCTTTTCTTCCATCATTTTCTCCAACCAAACACACCCTTATATTTTCCACGGACCCAATCCAGCAGCCGCTTTTTTTGAAAAAATGAAAAGTACTACAGTTCTGCCTATATACGGAACTCCTAAAAGTTTGGAGAAATTGCACCGTTGATCTCAAAGCAGCTATCATATTGGTTCCTATCATTTAAAATTGAACAAGTTGATCCTCAGTAACAGAAACAATCCAAATCTTTTCAAAATTGTCATTGCACCTACTAGTGTGGATAACTTCTACTAGTACATCCAACTTTGCAAAGCTAAATTACATTTCTCAACTAGGGTCGATACCTTATGCTTCAATCGAATTTATTATTCTTAATATAATTGAATATTGATCGTACAATTATAATGAATCACTGACGATCAATTTACTCATTATTTAATGAATAGTGGAGGTTAAACTTATTAAAAATCAATTTGTTGGATCTAAATAAACAACTATAATGACAATGGAGGATAAATTTAAGATTCAATTGACAAAATTTATGTTCTTAATTCTACTTTTTGTAGAATATCCTAAATGATTTTCCAGCAAAAACTCTTCTAACTCGGCAAAGAATTTTTAAAGAAGCATTCAAATATACGTAAAAGCAGGTTCGTAATCTTAAAAACAGTTTTTAACTTTTCAAAAGCCCTACAAAATAGGCACTTACTGATTTTTAAACACTGAGGATGAATTTGCTACTATTTCAATAGATTGGATACTAATGAGTAATGATGCCTTTCTCCCTAAAAGTTTTGTAGTTAAACAACGACTCTCGCTCTTCTGAATTTTTTTGTTCAAATTGATTATTAATTATTGAATTTTCTGCATATCCATATGGATTCGATTCTTGTCGCCGATTCTCGAACTGTTTGTCCACGCTCAAGCATAATTCCCCCAGCTCATTTCAAGAATTTGCCCTGCATCCTCGCATACTTCAGCCGGCCAGTTTTCAGAATGTCCGTTGTTGCTTATACTTCCGCATCACCCTGCCGACGGCGCCAACTGTCTGAACTTCGCCGGAAAGCCGCATTTTCTTCCTTTGAGACAGCCGGAACAACCAATTCCGTGCCCGTAAGCTCCTATTTGTAGAAATTAATTATAAAAAAGATCTTTATGTACTGAAGCTAATTAGATCAGTTGTTTATGATGTCAATGTATGATGAGGTCGGAGTTTGTAAAGTAAATGTTTGTTAATTGTTAGTATGCTTACTTGAAGTGGATAACAATATTGTACTTGTAGAAACCTAAGATCGTTGGCCGTTCAATGACTTTTCAAACTTTTTATTCCATGAACTTTGTTAGGTGGTGCACTGACGTGCTGCTTTTTCTGGATCCTTTTCAGTGGATCACCCTATCTTATATGTTTGACATGCTATCTGTAGAATTCAAGATTCTTAGTGGGTACCGCTTTAGGTGCTGCACGCGCTTTCATTGGTCGATTAGCTTATCCAGCTTGAGAATGGGGTCGGCCTCTTGTACTTGGTCATGTTTGGTTCTGCTTTAGTTTAGTTAAGCTGTTATTGGACTTCCTTGGTGCAACTCAAGCTTGTAGTTTATATTAGAAATAATCAGGATTGACATGTTGATCTTGTTGTCCGTGTCAGGTTGGAAAGTCATATAGTAGAGTGATGTGATCAATGGTGTAAGGCTATCATACGCTAGCTGTAAGCTAGAATGGTTTAGTTTAGCTCAATTCTCTTTCAGTGGTCTTTACACAAATTACTTTAAGAAATAAGAAAGTTCCGCCCTTACACTACAGCATTAGCTAAGTAGCTAAACATGTTTTGCAACATCATAGGATTCCTGTCACATATGCTGTGAAAATGATAGGGATGAGGGAATTTATTCTAAGAGAGAATTATCTCTACGTCCAAAATAAATTGACTAGAACAACTGACATGACGAAACACGGGAAAAGAATAAGGAAGTGTCAAATTGATATTCTGATAGAAACATCAGTTCCCATCCTAAACTATTTGGAATTAGGTGAAACAGCCAATGATTTTACTTAGGACCTTTCAAATTAATCAATGTTGGACCTTTCATCTTTTAGGGAAAGAAACCATTTTGATAGTCATTGCATCATTGAATAATTGACTTCTGCATTTATCCATTTGTCAACATTTTAAGTGGATAGGAAAGAAGCAATTACTAGCATTGGAAGAAAAGCTCAGTATATCACATTTTTAATAGTGTCAAAGGATGCTATACGGAAAAGTGACACTAAATTATGGGCTATGAATTCTTGGGCATGATTATCCAACCCCAAGCTTGCCGGGAATAAAGGTTAGCTTGTTGTTTGTTGGGGGAATTTAGATACTGCTATGGTCTATTGATAGCAGTGCCAGTTCTATCTGCTGATGGTGCTTCTATATTTTCATATGTGATGTAGAATTGAATACTAAGCGCATGCCCATAAAATTAATCAAGTCCACTGGGTTGCTCAGCTCATTTATGAAGCTTTACATAACTTTGTCCTTGAGTGGTTTCTAGGTCTTACCCAAACTACAATTCAAATTTACCCTTCGGCACTAGTTTGTGGTTTGTCTATTCTGCTATTCTGAATGATTGTCCTAGTTTCTTTCTCATTATCTCTCTTTGGCACAATTAAAATTTAAAATGTTAAACTTTTGTGCTTGTGTGAGTGGCTTAGATGAAGAGACCATGTGGTTTTGAAAGATTGCACTTAATGGCTCGGGCACCAAGATGAAATGCATTGTGCGGGCACTTCATTGTCCCTGAAGAATTGATCATCTTTTTTGATATATAGGGTGATTTATTCTTCAAATCTATCATTTTTAATTTTCTTAAGAGCCGCGGCTTGAAGATTCAAACGATTAATTTTATTTGGTGCTCAATTATCCTGCAATGATAATGGAGCCATGAGGTACTCACTTTGCTTCTGTCACTGGGAAAAGTATTCTCCTCATTGGGATGCACGTGAGTGGAGCTGAGAATAGATGAATAGTTGAAAAAACTTATTGATCGAACTTGCGTGGAATCGAACCAAATGCGTTAGTTGAAGTTTAGCTAATTTAAGCAAGCCAGGGGGGAAATTTGAGATTTTAGCTTCATTAGCAAAGAGATCCATCGTAGAACAGAATGTAAGATAAGTATATATATAGTTGCTCTATTAGTAAACCTGTTGTTGATTGTGTCAAAGTCCTTAAAGCAGAAAGGATCGATTGATAAAACTTCATGCATTTAAGAGAATACGTGTTTGGTTTCCAACTTTCTAAGGGAAATTTAAAGGTGGTCATCTTCATCCTTGTTTAATGGCATTTATGTTGCCTTAGTCTATATTTTTATTTTTGTATTCCAATTTGCAGCCACAAGAAGGGATGTATGTCGTCGGTGATTTTATGACAAGAAAAGAGGATTTGCATGTTGTAAAACCTTCGAATACTGTTGATGAAGGTATCTCTGACCATTGTTCTGAATTTGTGTACTAGTTTATTTTTTTCATTCATCAGTCTTTCCTGTTTTTGTTCAGCATTGGAGATGCTAGTGGAGAAAAGAATTACAGGATTTCCTGTGATCGACGATGACTGGAAGTTGGTAACATCTCGACTTTCTTCTGTCCGCTTTCTGCTTGATATGGCTTTCCACTACTATAAAAGCTGCACACATCATTTTAGATTAGCCTGTGTGAATTTACAGCTAACCCCTTGGGCATGGGCATGTGCTAAATTAGGGGTGAAATTTTATTTTGCTGCATTCATGGGTTAAATAACTGTCTGTCCAAATAGTCAAGGAGAATGGTATGCATTGAAAAGCAAGATACTGTGATAAAATATGATCGTATGACTAAGTGGCAGAGTAGAAAAGTTCACTTTCTGGCTTGTCAGATCATCTTCTGTAATGTGATTTGAATTGCCTTAATTTGCTGGATAACCGTTAGTTTTTATTAGATGGGAAGAGCATTGATCCTCTAAAACAGTAACAGACAGTTACGGTTTTTGATGATATTATAATCTATATGCCTGGTGGTTGATCATTCCTCTGCGGAAGGTTGACCATTTAGTTTACTTTTGGAGTTCTTTTCTTTCTTTTTCATTTACCTTCTTTACAAGTCAATGCTCATGGACTGTAGATATTTGCTGCAGGTTGGTGTTGTTTCCGACTATGACTTGTTAGCACTCGACTCCATCTCAGGTATAACTGAAGTTTCGAAACCAAATTAGATCTTTAAATGGAAACTATTTCTTCCATCACTATTTCTTTCGTCACTTTGATTAAATAAGTGTTTTACTTAATTATTTTGAATAGTAAGGGACATCAGTAATCAGATGAGGTACTCCTCCTTAGTGACAAGAGGTGATCTAATTTTTGAAGCAAAGAGAAAATGGGTTAACAAATACTTTGGTTGAGAAAACCACTTGGCAGCATAGAAATTTAAATTTCTTCCATTTCCCCCATATAGGGCTGACGAAAAAGCGAAAAAAATAAAATAAAATAAAAAATAAAATTGATATAGAGAGAGAATGATTAGACATGATTAGTGAACATGCAGCATGGATCTTTAAAAAAAAGACGTAAAATGTTCGACTACTTTGATGAGGTTTCAGGACTTCTGCACAGCAGTAAAGAGTTATCATTCTATTGAAAATCAAAGTGGAAAAAAATTATATTTAATCTAAGAATCATTCCATGCTGTGGATTCAGAAATTAGCATTATTACCATCTCGCAAAAAATACACTTATAAATATTTTGCCTGGTGACCGGTATTTTGACATGAAGATTATATCTTGGCAACTAATTTTCACAATTTTGCCTGGTGGTAGGTATTTTGGCATGAAGATTAAATCTTGATGATTAATTTTCATTTTTTCTCATCTGTGAATCTTAGGCGGTGGTCAACCTGACACAAGTATGTTTCCCGATGTCGACAGTACTTGGAAAGTATGTGAAAACTCTTCCTCAATGTTTCAAATTCCCTACATTTATTGATGTAGTAGTACGTTTTCTTTTCATTCATAGGGACCTTTTATTAAGCTCTTTGTTCTAGAATAGTTGTGTATTATTGCTGCTTCGATTCTGGTTATGCAATTAATACATACTGCAAATCCTGTGCTTTGTTTCTGCCTTTTATCATATTTAGGCCCGTAGTGATTTTTTGCCCCAAAAAATTGATTTTTTGACCGTTATTTTACTATTCAAGCCGTAATTTTTGACTTCTTCTCTCACATGTGGACCCCACTTTTCTTCTAACGATCAAAAAATCAATTCTCAAAATCCCTACCAAACGGGCCCTTAAGAGAAGTAATAATAGGATGAATGAATTAGTAATTGCATAGAATGAATTGATATAACTTCCAAATTTGTATTATCGCAATTAATTCCCTAGACACTGTTATATCTGGCATTTGACATGTTTAAATCATACCAAACTGAGTCTGCCCTAAGAGAGACTAGGTTATTTTAAACTGGGTGTGATGTGAGAATACACTTATGCTTTCGGATTGCAGTGCTAGTTATGTAACATTTTTTGGTGGACTGATTAGTGAATCCTCAACTTCTTGGTAATATATACATAGTAATTGTTTTATGGGCTTCTCATTTCTTTTATATGTTATGGCAGACATTTAATGAGATTCAGAAGCTACTCAGCAAAACTAATGGGCAGGTCGTTGGCGACCTTATGACCCCTGCTCCCCTTGTTGTTCATGAGAACTCAAACCTCGAGGATGCTGCGAGGTACTAGTTTTCTTTTTCTTTCCTTTTTTTTTTCCCCAAGTTATGTTCCTTAGCAACGGAATTAAGTCTTCAGCTTATAAATTCTTTCCTGTAAGAAGTAGCAGACTACTCAAATATATGTTTCTTCTGATTTAGATTATTGCTGAAAACCAAATATCGCCGGCTGCCGGTTGTGGACAGCAATGGCAAACTGGTAATGTTATTCTATTTTGTGTTCTTTACTTGGATTTGCTTAAATTTATCAGCAGCAAGTAGTTTCTTACTGGTACAAGTCTTTTACTATATGAAAGGTTGGCATTATCACACGGGGAAATGTGGTTAGAGCTGCCCTACAAATAAAGCGTGCTAGCGGCACGCTATAAATTCTGGACCAAGAAAGTAGTATCATGGCAAATCAATTTCGGCATCATATGAAATGTGCGATATGGTTCTTCAGCTTCTTGGTTGGTCCAGTTATAGTATAAGGTAAAAATTATTCCGTGATTTCTCTCGCAAGAGTTCCTATTGGGCAATCCAATTCACTGTTTGGATTTTAAGTTGTTTAGGAGGCCCCATGACTCGGAACTTTATTCTTATGCAAGCTCGTGCCTATAAAGTTAGTAGTTATAAGTGTACTTATTTTGCATTTGTTAGAATATAGAAATTCTAGCTGAGATATTGGAGATCTGCCTCTTATCACTACGAAAGTTTACTGAGAACGATCTCTCTCCAAGGCCTCCCGTGAGCGCCCTTATAGCGAGTTTAATGAGCCTCTATGTATTTGACCGTCTAATTTTACTCTTTAGTTCTTCAAACTTTGTTATGGAGGTGAGTTTCTTGTTCAGTTTTCATCTATATATATATATAATTCTTGTCACTTTATAACACGAAACGAATATGTTCAAGCTCTGACAATATATTTTAGAGTACGATTGTGTAATAATAATCAATCACAAATAACTCCAAGAAAACAAAGTAATCTAAACTCTAGCAAAACAAATGTATAATCCGCAAGAAAGAAAGAAAAATGAAGAGTAGCTTTAAGTGTATTTAGTTTCATTAACCTTCAAATGATACAAGGAGTAGGTATTTATAGTGTTACATATAAAATGGTGTCCATTGGATGGAAAATACACGTGGCTTTGTCTTCTTAGCCAAAGTATCCAATCCTAGACATTCATTTGAACTCACTGGCTTGTGGTGCGTTTAATACTCCTGCAGAGAGTAGTCACCCTACAACCTAAACTAACAAGATTTTGACATTTCATTTATTGCAAAGGTCTTATCAATTATTCCAATGGGATATCATTCATAAATTTTGGATCCTCACGTATGAGACGTCACTTGATGACCTTGGGTTTTGATTTTGACTTTTGTCGAGCTTCATCACTTCGACAGGTAGACAAGCTTGAGCCCCTTGGATGTAACTTCCAGCTTCGTCATTGACAAGTGGCTGCTTCGGCGAGTGTGGCTTCGGGGCTTCAAGGGTCAATTGTGGAGCCCATGTGGCAAGGTGTAATAATAATCCTCTAAGTCTATGTATTGTTATTTATATCATGTTGGACTTCAGCATTTTGGGCAAGTGTTCCTGTCATGGTCAAAGTTTTACCAAGCACAGTTAGTATTGCACATTTGATGTTTGTTTTATTGTCATGCATCCATAGGGATTGTAGTATTTATCTTATCTATTTATAAATTAAATTTCCAATTTGTCACAGTATACTGATGCAACAATTTTGGACGTATCCCTAATTTTGACAAGAAAGTGCAGCTAGCAACGGTCTTCTCGACTAGGGTTTTTTCAGTTCCTTGTAGAACTTGATACATATATTAAGGTTTCGTTTAGTACTCATTTTTTTCAAAATATATTTTTCTCTCTTCTTTTTAACCACACATTCTTTATTAAAATAATATTACTTTTAAATCAAAATTTTTTCCTTATTTTTCAACCACACATTTCCCATCAATTTACTATTTAAAAATACATTTTTACATAAAAATGTCTCCCAAACACAAGTTAAGTGGCCAAGTATATTTGGAAAGCGTTTATATATTATTCAAATTATAAATAGATAGAAAGGGTTTTTCTTTTTTAATACAGAACTCTTTAAATTTTTAAAACATTGCTGCTGGTAACAAACAAGCAAAATCAATGTAACACAAAAAAAAGAAAAAATGACAATGACGTCATTATGAATTTTACAATTTGGGGCGTTTGATTCTGACATGAGTTATTTAGGGGTAGCGTCTCACTAAAAAATGAGCCGAGCAACGAAAATCTCGTACCAGATGCTCTTCAACTCCTATTTGTTGGCTCATAAAATGGTTGAGCTATTTCGTACCCAAGCTATCCAGCTTGCTTACGAGTATGCTCGTAATCTTAAATGAAAATGCTTCTTCAATTAAAAAAAAAATGGGTGAGATGTGAACAGGTTTGTATTCGCTCGCCCATTTGTGAGCGCGAGTTGGTTCACATGGTGGGTGAAGCTGAGCTTGACAATCCATGATCTAAGTGGCTCGACTCGGCTTATTTAATATCATTATATGCTATAGATATCGAACGATATTTAGCAAGTCATATGTTGAGAAAGGTGATTATATCAATTGCTACAATTTTTATTTATTGCCCTACATTTTAATTTTATCCTTACTTTTTAAGGTTCCCTTGAATCTTTGGTATTCAAGTTCGTTGGATTCCATTATACCTTCTTTCATGGATAATCATCAATATTCCTCATCCTCTCCTCGATAGCTATCATTATGCAGTGCAATGCAGCTTGTAACATTTACTAATTGTCACATTAATGTCCTTACTTTCTTGTGTTATGTTTTATTGTCAACATCCTATTGATCAGACTATCTTATCTTTCTTCTATTTCCTCAGTTTTATATGCGTTAGCTCAATTTTTGGGTCGAATTCAACAAAATCAAGGATTTTTTTTCCCTAACGCACAACATAGAACCTGAAAGGACTAAAGGAGTAGTGAAATATAGCAAAGAAAAATAAAAATTGAATAAAAGTTAAGATATAAACTAATCAAACTTAAGAACAAACAGTCCTCAACAACCATATCAAAAACTCGTTATTATAAGTGTCTGCAAGAGTACGATGTGATCAACAAGTAATAAAGAGTAAGTAAAGTATCGTTTCTACGAGGACCGTAAATGTAAGGATCATGGCAAGCAATTGAGTTGATTACTAACAATTTTTATGTATTCTAACTTCGATGGAGAAACGAGTTTGTTTGATCGCAAGAGGTATGAAGCAGAAATACAAATGATCTGTTTTTTATCATTTTTTTCAGAAAAATGTTAACAGTACATAATTCCCTTTACTTAAGGGTGTCCACTCTCTCACATGAGGGTGGACCCCACATGAATAAAATATTCGAGTAGGCCTCCCATGTGAGAGAGGAACACCTTTATGTACATATAATTATGTACTAGTAGCATCTCTCTTTTTTTCAACACCCAATACAGATTATATGCTTAGCTCCCTGTCACTAAATCCTACAAATAGTTTTACCCGATAGGTTTGTGGGGTTTTTGATACCCAATAAATCCCAGGCTATGATGTTAACGTGTGTTAATATTATTTCATAAGCATGGGCCGATAAATGAAATAAATCCAACAACCAAATTCATAAGTTACACCCGACCCAATTGTATTCCTTCTGGATGGCTTGAATTTTGGTCTGTTTACCTTTTTAAAAGCCCAACTTAAAGCCTACCCCTAGAGTATATATATGGATATAACCCTAGCCTCTTTCTTATGATGTTTTGTGAGACTTTGTGTGAGAAAAAAGAGAATCCCGGCTACCCTGTGAAAAAACAACCCCTAGAACACCTGTTTACTTTGTGTAATTGGTGGTTCCTTCATAGTATGCCTTTATGGTGTCTTCTCCTAGCCTTTGTAACCACAAATCATCATCCTTTCTTGTCCCTACGTGGATAAGATTGAATAGCAATCGAGGAGGTGAATTATATTGATTGTAGTTTGGAGCCGGTTGTATTGATTGTTGGTAGAGAAAGGTACGTTGGACTGAGCCTAGAAAATCACCGTTTGAAGATCTTTCAAGAGAGCTTCCGCAACAATTGGTATTAGAGCTTCAAGGTGAAAGTTTTGGCTCGTGAAATCTACCAAAAAACGTCCAGAAATCAGATCGAAGAAGCTGTCCAAATACTATCAAAATCAGTCTCCGTTTTTTGCATTTTCTGATCAATCCAGAAGGACTTTAAGAAAAACCGAGACCACTGACTTGATATGCAGGAGGAGGCGCACCCTGCAAGCAGGCTTGACGGTCATCTCCGGCGCGTGTGGACCACGCGCAGAGAGGAAGAGACGCGCTTGAGGGCGCGTGGGAGGAAATTTCGAGAAGGTCCCTTTAGGCAGTCTGTTCCTCATATTATTTCTGACATTTTTCTTGTTGAAAGTTTTCTGTTTCAGGGTACACAGTAGAATCTGGACAGCGTTGTTCTTCGGGCGTTTGGGACTCAATCATGATTTTTTGGTTGCTACAGTTTCCAGAGACTTTAGGACGAATAGTGGTTATCCTAAAGTGGTGAATTCGAATGTCTCGATATTTACAAACCTTCAGACGTGTTCCGCTAGGTATCGTGTTCTTTGCTTTTTATTATTGCAGTTAAAATTAATGTGTAGGTTAATTATTTATTTTTCGCATTAGAAGTTATCGTGTGGGGTGATGTTAGGTTTAAGGTAACCATTGCTTGTTGTTAGACCTAAGAATTACATGTTAATTATCTTAAATTCTATGTAAATTTGTCACCAATTTTTCTACACTGATAGGATTGCATGTGACCTTAGGAAAATTTACTTGACTGTTCTATATGAATTATGTGTCAGTACTTTGCTTGTGGTCATTATTTGGTATTGTTGGCATCTATAGGTCTAAGACAAATGCAAAAAATAAAATATGCTTTAACTGTGGTAAAATTTGGGTATAGTTGAAAGAGATTGTCTTAGGATGATAATAAAAGGTAAGATGAGAATAGAGACAAGGCGAATGTGACTTTAGGGTCGAGTAGTGATCCTAGGGAGGTTTATTGAGAGAATAAACCTGGTTCTTGCATTGCATCTGTGTGTAATTCTTTCTGCATGTATGTGATCACTTAATTTTGTTGCAATATTGATGTTACACTTTCAACTTGTTTGATGTGTGTAATTGCATGATTTGAGGGTGATCTTGTTACTTTGTGTAATATGTTTACATGCCTAGTGGGTTGAATTTTGTGGCGTACTCTGTTTACTTTGTGAGTGGTGTGAGAGTGCGGTAGTGAGAAAAAAGTTGGGCAGTCGTTTCTCTCCTTTATCTTTGTGAGCCTGTGTAGTTTGTGAGATTATGTGAGGCAGCCATGTTAGGGTTATATTCTTCCTCTTTGTGAGCCTCCTTTGTGAGTGTTGTGAAGTAACCGACTCTTTCTTCGTTTTTTCTTTGTGAGTGCCACTTTCGCCGTTTTCTTTGTGGATTTTTGGAACTTTGGTGATTGGAGTAACCTTTGTGGTCACCGAAAGGTGTTAATTTTCCATAGTGAGTTTGAGATGCATTAGTAGTGTGTTGTGTGTTTTTTGGTAAGGTGAAGTAAAGATGCCTAGGGGTACATGGTGGCTTGTACCGGGGATGTGGAGTGTGACATTTGGATTACGAGTGGAGATGTGATCAAAATGTCTAGAATCTTTTATCTGGAAAGAGACCCTGATCAGGTGGAGTGTGTGAGGGGCACTTCTATCACTTCTATTAGGTGGAGACCCATTATTCACGTAGGTTGGAAGAAGTGATGTGGAGATAGAGGATTATCCCGTGGACTTAGGATCTATTGTGACTTGCCAGTTAGGCATGAGTTGAGTGATTTGTCTAGTGAGCTTGGTGGGCAATGAGAAGAGATATGTGTTCTCGAGGTGTGAGCAACACGGAATGAGATATGATAAGTGCGGTGAGATCTTTTCTTAGGGTCATTTATACATGTGTTGCATATGTGGTTGACCGTGATTTGATTGATTTGGTGTTAATTTATGGTTCTATGTGAACGTATTTTTTGAAAAGATCTGTGTGTGTTATCCTATAGTATATCGTCATCGCACGTGTATTTACTCTTGATTGTTTACTGTTAAATATTTGCTTCTATTTGGCTGTTTTTGACCTTAGTCCCAGTGAGTACATGGAGTAGGTATGGTATGTGTGTCAAGTTGGAAACACGAGGTAAGGTCTGTGATCCAATTTTATTGGCTACCTTGATTATGCAAGTGCTAACTGTGTGTTTTGACTACTTGCAGATTTATTGGGTATCAAGGTGGAGATTTGTTTGGTTTTTGATACTCAATAAATTTCGGGTTATGATGTTAACGTGGGTTAATATTATTTCATAGGCATAGGCCGATGAATGAAATAAGTCCAACAACCAAGTCCATGAGCTACACCCGACCCAATTGTATTCCTTCTCGATGGCTTGAATTTTGGTCCGTTTACCTCTTTAAAGGCCCAACTTAAAGCCTAACCCTAGAGTATATATATGGATATAACCTTAGCCTCTTTCTTATGATGTTTTGTGAGATTTTGTGTGAGAAAAAGGAGAATTCCGGCTACCCTCTTGATGAGTGAAAAAACAGCCTCTAGAAGTGTCCAAAACACCTGTTTACTTTGTGTAATTTGTTATTCCTTCATAATATACCTTTGTGGTGTCTTCTCCTAGCCTTTGTGACCATAAATCATCATCCTTTCTTGTCCTACGTGAATAAGATTGAATAGCAATCGAGGAGGTGAATTATATTGATTATGGTTTGGAGTCGGTTGGATTGATTGTTGGTAGAGAAAGGTACGTTGGACTGAGTTTGGAAAACCACCGTTTGAAGATCTTTCAAGAGAACTTCCGCAATATAGCGGAAATCACTCGATAAATCTTGATTCCTAGCTTAGAAACAATCAAACGAACACCGGTTTACCTCGACTCAACCCGAGACTTTCGCCTTACACTTTGGACTGCCCAAACTTTCTCAAACCCCACAAAGGAGGAGGGTGGTGGTGTTAGCAATCTACAAAGGTATGGAGAGGAAGAAGAAGTTATCACAATGGTTGAATCTCACTCACAACCTCACATGGCTTCCATTTCTCTCGGCTGTCTCTCTTCTCGCAACTCTCATCTCCATTGCTACAACACACACACACCACCACAAAATGGTTGGGAGATAAATACATATATATAGGTTAGTTTAGGTCACTCCAATTAGGCCTAGGGTTCACTAAGAGGGCTACCGATTAACCTAAACTAATGGGCCAATATTGAACTCTATATTAATCACTAAATGGTCCAACTAACCAAATAATCATCCAAGCCAAACCCGAGTCATCCAAAAGTGTAGTTCGTCTCCGAACCGAGCCAAGTCCATAATATCGATAAATAATCCGACAACTGTTTTAAATCATCGCCCGAATTATTGGGTATCAAAAATCCAACAAGATTTTTCTCCTAATTATGATTTAATAGTACACTCTGATCATAATTCAGACAAGAAATGACACGCATACATGAGTACACCTATATTCCACATGGTAAAAGTTCAAGTATTAAAAATATCATTTTTTCCACGAAAGAGCAAAACAGGGTAACAACAGGGAGGGACTCAAAGATGGCCGTAAAATGTGGCTTTTGCCTAACAACCTACCCTACTTTCTCTATCTCCATGTTATATGATTGATTATCAATGGCATAACTAACCATCAATCCAATTCTAATTGTCTACTTTTACCTTCTTTTTTCCCTCCTCTTTTGGCACAAAATATATCATTATTTCCTTTTATAAAACTACAAGAATTGCATATTTATATTTGAACTGATATCTCGCTTTTTCTGTGTTATTAATGTTGACAAATATGCATCAATAAACGATTTAATTCTATTTATGGCGTCAAATGTTTGAGCTTCTCGACGGACGAGAATGAAGGTGGAATTTCTCGCAGTCACTATTGGAAAATCATTAATAATTGGATTATGTTAACTTAGCGTATTGTATTATACTAGCATGTTAAAATATGTATAAATAAAATTGCACTATATGTACTTTGTCATGATTTAGGTAATCTTTAATGAGGGGATTACAATCATTTAGATAATCTTTTCCTTTTTCATATATACTATTATTTGCTTTTTGAACAAAGCTCCTCACAAAAATCATTTGATTAGTAAGATGCACTATCAAATAATGGCAATTAGGACTTTTTGAATTTTCTACTGAAAGTTAAATGGAGTTTTTATGTAATAGGTACCTTTGATAATAAGTAAAAATATAAAAAGCATGTGGCTTAGCCATGTTCGAGCCTCATTTTTTTTTCAAACTCATTTTAACACATTCTTCTAATAAAATAATTTAAACATAAATTAAAAAAAATTTCTTGCTTTTTAATCACATATTCTTCAAAAATTACTTTTTACAAAATCTATTCTAAAAAAATGAGGCTCAAAAATGGTGATATAAATATCTTTCTTGTAATATTAAATTTAACGAAGGGGAAAAAAATCAACCCACATTTTGTATGTGATACTGATGCTAGCAACGATATCAAATGTGCTCGAGAATTACAATAGCTAACTATAATGAACCTTCTATTTTAGAAATTGATACAAGATAATGTCCCTTTTTTGGGTTAATTAGTTAGGTGATTGACTAATTCGGTTTATAGGTGCATAGCCTAAATATTGCAACACCATGATGAATCGTTAACATCCTCATTTTTCACCCAAAAAAAAAAAAAAAAAAAAATTTTTTTTTTAATTCATTTTTCACCCAAAAAAAAAAAAATTTATTTTTTAACCGTTATTTCACTATTCCAGCCGTTATTTTTTATTTCTTCATTCACAAATGAGACTTACTTTTCTCTTTAACAGTCAAAAAAATCAATTTCTAATAATCACTATCGAACAGATCCCAATCACTGGCAAGAAATAAACAATACATTAGACCATATTAAAAATAAAGATATAAATCATGTCACTTCCTAAGAATATTATAGAAATTATTAATTAATGATGTCAATTATATGCTCTACTACAAATTTTGGATTTTCTTTTTATTACATTTCATCAATTGCCTATAAATAATATACAATCAAAATACTCATGTTGACTTGTACTTTAGTTGGAAATTCTCATCTATCATATCGCATAGTTACCACTAATTCCACTCGACTTTAATAGAAAAATTCACTTTTAAAATCATAATACAATGGCATTTATGGCTTTTATGCATTTTTCTAATTAAATCCATTTGAATTTTTATGAAATTAATTCCTTTGGAATAAGTAAAAATCAAAAACAGGAACTAATGTCTCACTATATATGAGTTAACCATGTTTTAACTTGAAAATATGATATTAATATTAGTGTCGATATCATTTATAGCCATGAAAATAAATAAGCCCTTGTTAGTGGAAATTAAAATCAAAATTTCAACAGATTTTGATAAGAATTGTGTTTAAAAAATTGTTAATCACATGAAATATGTTGTTAAGCTTAATTGTTGATTTTGATTTAAAATCCTTATCAAATAGGAGCTTATTTAGAAGTTGATATGTACGAGAGAAAGAATGTTACTATTGATAATATCCTCATTTGGTGCTAAATAAACATGTTTTGTTAAAGCATTTACCAGATTTTATGTGTAGAATATCATATGGAATAGAAAAGCATTAAAAAGAAGAAAATTAAATTATAATCTTGTCAATTTTGTAAATTCATTAATGTGTTCTAAACACATCATATGCTATAATAATTATTTAAATCTTTAATGTTATAGAAATTCAAGATGTCATTCAATGCCCTACTTTAAAAAGTAGGATTCCCATTTATTGCATTGCGTCAAGTTTTGCCTATAAATAAATAATTCCGAGTACAAAGTCCAATGCTTATTCACACCTTCATCGAAAATTTTCATCTATCATATCGCTTACTAGCACTAATCCCGCTCGACTCTACTCAAAAAATTCACTTTCGAAATTTGACAATAATCATGTCATATCGAGAACCAAAGTAGTACAAAATAATTCTAAAGTTTTTCACAAAATTTAGCCTTTTTCCTCCACGTACTTTATCTTCTTTAATTTTACACCCTAGTCCCACTCTAATATCAAATTATTTCTCCATTATTTGATGACATAAAGAAAAAGATAAAGGCAAAGTTTTGAGAGAGAAAGTGAATTCCCAGTTTTTGAATTTGATGAAAATGAAAACTAGTGCAAAATTCATAGTTTTACATCCTTCAATGCACAAACAAAGCAATGGTGGATCAGTAATAGCTTCATCTCACCGGAGTTGGTTCCTATTTTTCTTGATTTTTTTCATATCTGCTTTTGTATTCATTTTCTTCACCACCAGGGAGGCCGCCACCACTGCTAGAACAGCCGCCGCCGCTTCCAAGGGTGTATTACCAAAACCCATCTTTGATACACTACTTCACTATGCTTCTATGAATCCAACAAACATCACCGGTCGCATGTCATCCGCCGAGCTAAAAGCCATCGCCACCGTCCTCCGTCGCTGTGCCGCTCCATGTAACGTACTTGTTTTCGGGCGCAGCCACGAGACCCTCCTTTGGAACTCACTCAACCAGAATGGGCGCACAGTTTTTGTCGATGAAAGCGCTTACTTCGTCTCCGTTCTCGAAGAAAGACACCCAGAAATCGAAGCTTACGACGTCCAATACGCTACCCAAGTCAGCGAATTATACGATTTGATAGAACATTACAAATTACAGGTGAAAAATGAATGCAGGCCAGTTCAGAATCTTCTCTTTTCAGACTGCAAGCTGGCCGTAAACGACATGCCGAACCAGCTATACGACGTCCCATGGGACGTGATAGTGGTAGATGGGCCAAGTGGGCACTCCCCATCGTCGCCGGGGAGGACGCCATCGATATTCACTGCCGGAGTTTTGGCTAGGAGCAAAAGGGGCGGCGTAGAGAAAACCCATGTGTTTGTGCATGAATTTGAACGAGAAGTGGAGAATGTGAGCAGTTTTGAATTTCTGTGCAGAGAAAATTTGGTGGATACCATAGGCTCGTTGGCGCATTTTCTTGTGGGAAAAATGGAGGCTACTGAGTTTCAGTTCTGCCCTAATTCTGAATCTTCTTCGTCTCCACTTAAATCCCTTGAAGATGATTGAATAAAGTATTGATCAGGATTTGCTCTTTTATTTCTTTCTTGATCAGAAACTGCTAAGCATGTTTAGCTATTATTGGCCTAAAATTATGTTTTTACAGTCGAATTAATTTGACTTATCAAATACTGCGAATCAAACTGGCAATGCACTGTAAAGTGTAATATTTATACATTTTTAAATGATATATATATTAATTTACAAGCATTATGCAATCAACTTTCGCATTTTATTTATTTATTTTTAGTTTGTAATCGAAAATTAAATTTATTTTTTCTTGTTTGTGGAATTTGAAGATCAAATGCATATTTCTTACGTAATATGGTACAGTCATACAAAACATTGTTTTGCAGTGTTGTCAAATTTCATAGTTTTTATATGTTTAAGAAATGAAATAATACCATCAAATTAAACTTATATTGATGAAGTAAATCTTTTTCCTCTTCATTTTTATTTGATTTGCTTTGTGAAATATCTAATTCAACGTGGAGAAATAAAATCAAAATAATTATTTGTAAGGGTTTTTAGTTTCTTAAATTATCCAACTTTTAATAGGTTTCCCAAAAATTAAAAAAAATTAAAAAATAAAAAAAATTCAATACAAGTGGTGCAAAGAAAAGAAAGGCTGCAAAACTTTATTTAGTGTCGGTGATGGGCTGCAAAGAAATGCGAAATTGACGCTATCTTTGGCTTTACTTTCATATTTTCTCTCAGATTTCAATTAAAATTTGGAGCATGTTTTTCAATCCATGACTAGGGTTTGGCAAAAAAGAACTACCATATGTACAGAATTTTTGTGCAAATTTGTTGAAAAAAATGAGTGACGGTTTTTTGACCCTTAATTTGAATTCTATCAACATATCTGTAACCTATTTCTGTACAAGTAGCAAAATTGTTGGCAAATTTTCCAAACTCAGACAATTCAAATTAGTTCAAAATTGTCCTATCACTTTAGTTCGATCTTAAAAAGTAAAATTAACACTTCATTAATTATTGAATCGGACATGTATTTGTCCGGCCAAGTTCTTAAAGGGATTGACACAATTTGATATCTAAACGAGCTACAAAAGTTGGTTAGTTTTGTACCACAATTCATTTTTTAAAAGGAATCTTCAAGTATTCGACTTGGAAAAAAATCGACATATTTTGACATC